GAGAGAGAGAGAGAGAGAGGGAGAGAGAGAGTCACACCTAGGTTAGCAGCTAAAGGTATAGTCTTCCCATCTTTTCCCTTCTCACCTCCTAATGCCTCTTCCTCAATGCACATGCTTTGTTCTGGCATTTGCTCAACTCTTTTTGGAAATTCTTGTGAATCACTTCACATGACAGTTCCTGAGACCCTTCTCCACCATCATCCTCATGGGTCACCTCATATTCTGCCACCAGGAAGGATGAGTTCCGTGGTTACCCAGGATTCTCCCATTAGCTATATGAGCTCCTTATGGACCTGGCCCTTCTTCTGTCTCCATCCTCCTCATGACCTGTCACAGCAGGTGCCACATAGCAGAGGTCTAGGAACTATGTGCCTGCCTGAGTGACATGGGGCAGCAGGAGCTGAGCAGGCATCTCCACAGATTTTGCTCTGAACAAGGGCTAACGCTCTTGTGTTTCCACTTCAGGACCTTCAAGTGCCATCATAGACAGAGACTCCCAGGAGTCCGCAGCCAGCACGCTGATTCCCTCAGCCCTGCTCTGGATCCTCCCCTGCTTCATCCACCTAGGCCTCCAGATCTTCCTGACAGGTGCTGTGGGCAGAATGGACAGAGACATGGGGCAGCTGTGTGAGCAAGGAGGACAGGAAAGTGAACTCCCAAGGCCCCAGTCTGCACTCTGACTGGTCCTTCTCATTCTGAGATGAGACAGAAGAATCAGACCTCCCTCCTCTCACTGGTAGCAATAGCTTGGCCATGCTCAGCCCTGAGTTCTGAGAAATCCTCCCCGTCAGGGCCTGTGGGAAAGAGGAGGAACCGTACAAGTTGGCCTGTGGACTCTAAAGGGTTTTAGCTTATGCAGGTCTGATTCAGACCAGATTTCTATGAGAGAGGGGCACAGTAGTGCATGCAGTGCATGGTGTGGAGATAACAGGAACACAGGAAGGAAAATACCTAATCCTGGGTGATGGCAGCATGATAGATGCATTTGATATGTAAACAGGAATGGACTCCACACCCACAGTTGAAAAGAGAGGGTCCTCTGCCAGGTTGTGGCTCAGTGGAAAAGCACTTGCCTAGCATATGTGAGGCACTGGGTTTAATCCCTAGCACCACATAAAAATAAACCCATAAAATAAAGGTATTGTGTCCATCTACAACTAATATATATGTGTGTGTATGTATGTATGTATGTTTATATATATATATATATAAAAGGGAGAGCCGGGGGTCCTATGGCTAATGCCAGAACAGGGAGCAGTGAAGGTCTTTTCCAGCCCAACCTGGAAGGCTGGAGTTCAGGGTTACATTCCCACAGGAGGCTCATTTCCAGCAGCTGAAGGGAAAACTGAGAGTAGAGTCTGTCCAGGATGAAGGCAGAGGATGCCAGCTCTCTGGGGACTCTTAGGACTCCAAGATTGAACCTTGGGCTGTGGTCCTGGAACCCAGCCTCTGTAGCCTCCAGATACTGAGGTAGCTCAGCAGCCTTTGCCTTGAGCAGAGCCTCTGCAGAGACTGGTGGGGCTGAGCAGCTGCTGGGGTCTGATGCTCCAGCTGACTTAGCCAGAGTGGAGGGAGTAGGCAGGGCCAGTCACTTTTAGAGCTCTGCTGCTCCCAGGTAAGGAGAGGTTGAGGGGGAAGGGGAAGAAAGATGTTGTCTGCAACCAAGGCCCAGGAACCAGATTCCAGGGCCCTCTCTTTGGACAGGGTTCTCCCCACCCCCAGGTCCTATGGCCCCTCCTATCTGGAGGAGGAGCAGGCTCCCAGTCAGGGAGCAGATCCAGTCATTACAGCTGCAGTCCTGAGACACCAAGGCCTACTTTCTCACAGGCCAGAGTGTGGTAGAGGCTGCAGGACCCTTGGGTTGTGGGTGGAGGGGAACACATGACCCAAGGTGAGCATGGCTCTGAGATTGGGAGTGACTGATGAGGGGTCAGGAGAAGTGAAGTAGGATTTCTTCAGAGAGTTGAAATAACGTGTTTCTTTTCTAAAGGTTAAAGATGCTCCCAAGAAGCTTCTGAAAATGTGATTCAGTGAAATGATGGTCCTTACTGATCTTCTGCCAATCTACTTCCTGCTCTTCCTCCGTAGAGCAAACAAAGACTGAACTGCAAATCCTGAGGCCTCCAGCATGTCACTCAGACTTAGTCACTCAGCCTAGAGTTCCACTGCTTTTTCAGATCTAGTGAGGATTTAAAAGGTGTATCTGTATGTCACTTGCAGGTCGTGAGCCCATACCCTACTTCTGCAAGAGGTGGACTGTTCTAGTTGCTGCTTTCACTTTCCCAACCATCACAGCAGCCACCCGCATCTTTCCTTTGCCACCCATTGACCCCTACCACCCCAAGATCTGATGACCCCCAAGAAGATCCATTAACTTCAATTTCAACTTTGAGCTCTTTCATCTGTTTTGTGACCATCCAATCCTGCACTTTTTCTTAACCATTTCCTGTGCTAACCTCAGTAATCATACACTGAGCCTCTGACTGCTAGAACAAGAAACCTCAACAAAGAGTTTTAATCTTGGTTGTGTTATCAACTACTTCTCTGTACCTTGAGCTGATGTTTATTATAGTTTGGATCTGGAATGTCCCACAAAGACCCATGTGTTGACTACGGTGCTATTGAGAGGTGAGGAAAACTTTAGAAGAGTTGTTGAGTCGTGTTTTGAAAGGTTCTTTATGTCCCAGGCACCTTCCTTCCTCCCACCTCTCCCTCCCCCTTTTCCTCTATTTAAACTATAAATTATTTTTTATTGCTACAATAAGTTAAACCATCTCTTCTCCAAAGCTCCTGCTGTTGTGATATTCTGCCTTACCTCAGACCCAAAAGCAGTACAGTCAACCAAACTTGGACTAAAACTTCTGAAACACTGTGCCACAAATCAATTTTTCTTCCTTTAGTTTACTGTCTTCAAATGTTTTTCCACAGTTCAGGCTGGGGATGTGGCTCAAGCAGTAGCGCACTCGCCTGGCATGCGTGCGGCCCGGGTCCGATCCTCAGCACCACATACAAACAAAGATGTTGTGTCCGCCGAAAACTAAAAAATAAATGTTAAAATTCTCTCTCTCTCTTTAAAATAAAATGTTTTTTCACAGTGATGAAAAGACAATACAACATTGATGGTGCAATATTGTCTGTAAAATACAATGACAGACATCGTTTATAACTTCAGGAATTCTTTGTATGTTTTGTTTTAGTTAAATAAACATATTTTGTCAACAAATTTAAATGAGTTTGGAATTCTTATGTAATCAAGGTGGTGGTTGATTTTATGTGTCAACCCACTGCCTGAGGTTTACCCTAATAGCTGGTAAAACATTATTTCTGGGCTGGGTGCAGTGGTGCATGCCTGTAATTTCACCTGCTCAGGAGGCTGGGACTGGAGGATCACAAGTTCAAAGCCAGCCTCCGAAATGGCGAGACAATTAGCAACTCAGTGAGACCCTCTCTAAATAAAACACAAAATAGGGCTGGGGATGTGCCTCAGTGGTTGAGCACCCCTGAGTTCAATCCCCAGTACAAAAAAAAAAAAAAAAAAACCCACAACAACATTTCAGGGTCTTTCTCTGAGGGTGATTCTTGCAAAGATTTACTTTTAAATCAGTAAGGTAGGCTCTGCAAAGAAGTTTTTATCCCTTGTGTGAGTAGGCATCATCCAATCTTTTCAGGGTCCCAACAAAACCAAAGGTTAGAAGAAGGACAAATTTCACTGTTTGATCTGAGATGCCCATCTTCCCTGGTCTGGGATATGTCAGGCCATCATTGTTTCTCACGCTCCATGACTCAGTCTGGACTTACACCATCAACCCTCAGCCCCAGGTCCATAGTTCAAACTGAATTATACCTTTGATTTTCTGATTCTCCAGCCTCAGATCAACACTGGACTCTCTTGGCTCCATAACCAATAAGCCAATTTTTACAATAAGTCTCTTGGTTCTTTTTCCCTGGAGAACCCTGAACAATAAAAATTAATGGAGAATGATTGATATTTTGTGCTTCCTTCATATTTTAGAGTAACTAAAATCCATGATGTTGCCAAATTTGTTTTTGTAAGCAGAATTTAAGGATTACACTTAAACTAACAGGTAGTCTAGATGGCAATCTCGAACATTTTGCTGGCTCAAAACAAATCTTCTTGTGCTTAAGGAATAAAATATTTTTCTGTTTTTTCCCCAGTGTTCTTCACCTTTGATAGTGATTTTTTTTTCCTTGTTGTTGCTGTTGTTCCTCACCTTTAATTAGAAGTAAGTTGTATGCATGTGGGTATGGGTGTGCATAGTGGAGAGAGAATTTAAAACAATTCTATTTATTTTCTTTTTTCCCCCAGTATAAATAATAAAAACCTTACATTCAAACAAAAATAAGAAATACATTGCACAGCAGAACACTCTTTACTTGAAATGTTGTTTTATTTATTCAAGGATAGGATTAATATCCAAAGTACAAGAAGAATTTCTACCAAAGTTACTTCTTCTGACATATGGGCATATGCTATGAGCAATTCACAGCATATAATCCTGCACCAAGATTCTACAATCTGAAATAACCAGGAGCACAGATTAAAAGCACAATGGGCAATTATTATAACCATCAAATTGACAACCACTTAAATATACGTGTACAAAGTGGTGAATAGGAAAAGGATCAACATAGCTATCATATTTGTTGGTCAGAGCACAAATTGAATCAATCCTTTGATATGTAACTGGATAATAATCTGTATGCTTAACAAAATATGCTCATGCAACTTCACAACAATCCTGGCATTATTTCTGGGCTTTTGAATGTGTTCATATAGCATTTAGATATGTAGTTGTTTATTGTAGTGTGGTAGTGTAGCCAGAAAGAGTTCTGGTTATTTTATTTTTCCTAGGTTGTGATTACCAAGGTAATAGGCCTTATGTCTCTGTAGAGGATATTGGGACTAACATTAAAAGTATAATTTTGCACTTGTGTTCCAAGTTTTTACTTATTGCAACACACCTCCTCTTCATTCAGGTCATTCTGGGTTTCTAATCTGGCTTAGATCTTGGAATTGATTGAGGTAATATAGCTGTTTTTATTATTCCAGTTAGACCTTCCCCCTTGGTCTTAAACTCTTCTGTTTACTCAGATCCAGTGAGGATTTAGCAAACCCCTCGTATCTTTTACTTCCAGGAACACCATGAACTCACATCCTCAGGCTAGACTGTTCTGTTTGCTGTTTTGACTCTCCTGCCCATTACAGTAGCCCCCTTTGCTCTGCAGCTTGAGTGTCATCAAATGACTCCCATTGATTTTTGGTGTCCCAATTCAGGGACTGCAGTTCCCTCTCTGAGGTCTGGTCTCAGGATTAGAGTAATGGCAGAGCCCTTCAAGGATTCCAGAGTTTCCCTTGGAAATTGTGATGCACAGTAGTGATGACAGTGGTAAGAAGCAGTGGGGACTCTCAGGGTACCACTGCCGCCACTGTCACCCAGAGGTCCATTGCCAAGTTGCCTGCAGGGTTGGTTGCACACAGCCATCTCCATCTTGGGACAGTGGCCAGTGCCTTGTGGGCCAGGGTGCTTGTAGGTTTGCTGCTACCACCATCTCAGTGCAGCCAGTTCTGCCTGAGAACACCAGCCATGGCCTGAGGCCCAGTGTCAGGGTGCCTAGGTTTGGGCTGCCCTAAGGTCCTCCTGGGAGTGCTGGTGGCCACCATCTTGCTGCTTCTTTGCAGGGTCACTCCTTTGAGCACATGCCTCATTGTCTTTCTGCAAGGTGGAATGGCATTGAGATCCTGGGACTGCAACATAGCTGAGCCTGGGGTATCTTACATCCTTATCTGTCAGACAGTGAATGGGTGTGCATGGGTTGTTCATGGCCAGGCAATCCTGTGAACATTCAGACTGGGGGCATTTTGCCTGGGGGAAGCATTGGTTAGAGATGCTAGAAACAGCTGGGCTCCTGGGCTCCGTTAGTCCTGATACGTGTTGGTGCAGGGAGCCAACTGCAAATTACCTGAGGGTCTTCACTGGTTGTCGAGCCATGGAGATTTAGGTTTTCCCTTGGGAACTATACAGACTCCCCCCACCCCCTGTATTAGATTGCCCAAACCCATGACCTCTATCTCTGCTCTACTAGGGAGATCCCTTTCATAGCTCTAGAGATGGGCATAACTTGTTGGGAACTGGACAACCCATTCCTACCTTATTTAGCAAAGAACATTCCATGGAAAACCTTTGATGTTCCGTGATATAAATAAAGCAAGCGCAGGCTCCATGTTGCTCATGTTAGTGTGGAAGATTGATCCCTAAGATCGGCTAGCACATCCCGCCCCACGCTATTCAAAATTACACTCTGTGTCCTGTGGTTTTATCACTGCTTTCTCTTTCTTAGCTTTTATTCTGCATCCAGCCATTCCACTAAGAGCAACTGATTTCAATCAACTGGGCGGGGTGTGGGCAGGACCTGGGGACAAATGGGGCTGGCTACATCAGGTCAGAAGGTTGGAAGAGGGTGTGAGGGCACCTTGTTACCAACTTGCCCAGCCAACCAGTCCAGGACCCACGGGACTGAAGCTATCATCAACCTCCAGACAACCCCACCTATCACAACCCCAATTGAGCTCAAGTCTAGCCTATTTGGGAGCCATTCTAACACGTAGTAAGGTGGGAGGCAGAGTTTGATCTCGGGTAAGGTGGAGGTCCTGACAAATGCCACAATACATTACATCTGAAACATGATTCAAACAAAGGCTAAGAGAGCTTTTAACTTTCTTTTTGTGGAAAAGTGGCAAAATGCTTCCATGTTTTACAATTTCTCCTTTAAACAGATCAAGCTCTCATTATTAGCTTCCAGAAATGCATTTAAATTCCAATTCCACTGGGAAGATTAACACCAAATTGTATATACAACTTATTCACACAGATTATTTGATCCAGCTATAAAACCTCAAATGACATGAATCAGTACCAACCATATTTGTTATTTTTATATAAATCAGAGATTTTGCTACACATAATTTTAGTTTGGAGAACACCAACTTGGCAAAGCTTTGCATTCAACTAAGTTTACCGTTTAAAGTGCAATTTAGAATCCAGAATGTATAGTAACAGTAATCACAGGTCTGCATGGATTAACAAAGTCAATAGGCTTAAATATCTTATACATATAGGAAACAGAGTAATGATAAGAAATTGTCTTACTCAAAACAAATATATAAGACAGGTCTTCAATTGAGAGCATGGCACTTCAATGTCAGATAAAAAAGAGCCGTTTGGGGCTGGGGATGTGGCTCAAGCGGTATTGCGCTCGCCTGGCATGCATGTGGCCCGGGTTCGATCCTCAGCATCACATACAAAGATGCTATGCCGGCAAAAAATTTAAA